AATATGCGCACAATGATGAGAACCAACTCTTCGTTTGTCGCTCTACCGCCACGAAATTGGCATACCCTACTCTTAAATATTTGTTTTGATCAGCTGTGCTGAATCAGATCTTCTTGGTATATGTACACTTGCCCCGAAAAGACAATCAACTTTCATGTTAGAGGAGTTCCATAAATCTGAATTGCTAATTTTTGATTATTGGTTATTCAGCCTCGAGACATTGGGGTATCACGCCACATGAATGTGGTTTTTGGTGGTTTCCAAGCTCTCTTAAGTTGTACTCTTATCGAGCTCCCTTATCTGGATTTTTCGTTTGCAGAATAGCGAAACAGGAGAGTTGGAGTACTTCTACACGGATTCGGCCCGTGTGACACAGCCCGCCTACGATGGAGAGACCGGCGAGCCCGTACACGGTCAGATGAAGGTGCGCTATCGCAAGCATCATAATTTCCATGTGCCGAAGCACTGCCTCCGCGGCACCCTGTGCGACGAGATGGACGACTTGATGACAAACAAATATCAAGGGGATCTGGACATAACCGTGCAGCATGGTGCACCCAAGGTGCCGAAGAAAACGACGCCAGGCTATGAGCGCGAGGACTACTGTCACATGGATGGTGTGAGCAGCGTAAGCAGCAGAAGAGACTCCAAACTGCAGTGATTCCCTCCACTAACCAATTGAATTTCGTTTTGCAGAATATCATCTTGGGTTACGAGCGTCAGCATTATCTGCTGTTCCTGGTGCCGACACTCTTCTGCTACAACTTCTTTATTGGCGCGTTGATGGCTGTTATTGAGATCTTCCTGCACATGATGTCGCACCACAAGAATGGCCTGACCATGCAGAAGAGTCTCTACTTCCGCAGTCCCATGCATGTGCTCTCGTCACAGTTCTGCGCCATCTGTCGCACCGAGTCCGACAGCAAGTACAATCGCATCTTTGACATATTGAACAAACAGATGCGCACCGCCCATCGCTCGGCCACACTGAAGAACATATCCAAGGCCATGGGATAGCTGCCGAAGAGACACGCACACGGACACGCCAACGCCCACGAACGATGCACCATGATATGGCATCAAAAAACTCTATATTTAATGTTTTTCAAAGTTAATTTAAATTATTTCTTTCAAGGAATTTTAATTTAGGTTTATGTTTTAAAAACAAATATTTTCCCTTCGGTTACAAATGAAAATCCGAAGTTAAATAACAGAAACGTTTATTGTCACACGATCAACACAAAATAAATGCACTAAAATATCACTCAAGTACGTTCAACCCAACCACCAAACCGCCTCTGAAGCACTATCTGGGAATTATTAAACCGCTATCTGTCCCATCGTCTTGACATTCGGAGAGACGGTGAACTTGGCCCCAGTGCAGGCGATAATATCATCGACGGTATAGCCCTCGGCCACCTCAATCAGGGTAAGACCCACGCCCTTTTCCACCTCGAAAACGGCCTTCTCCGAAATGATCAGATCAATGACACCCTTGCCGGTCAAGGGCAGCGAACAAGTGTCCAAAATCTTGGGTGAACCATCGCGGGCATTGTGCTCCATTGTGATGATTACCTTGGTGCCGGGTGCAGCTACCAAATCCATGGCACCACCCATGCCCTTGACCAGTTTGCCCTGGAACAACAAAAAGGATCAAGTTTGGAGTGAGAATAATCTGTAGGAATTATTTTCTTGTCTTACAGGAATCATCCAGTTGGCTAGATCACCGGTGGCAGAGACCTCCATGGCACCCAGAATGGTTATGTCCACATGTCCGCCACGAATCATGGCAAAGCTGTCATCGGAGCCAAAGTAGGAGGCGCCGGGCACCACAGTGACGCTCTCCTTGCCGGCATTAATCAGATCTGGATCGACTTGGTCCTTGGTGGGGAATGGACCCAGACCCAAAATGCCATTCTCCGACTGCAGCAGCACGTTCATGCCCTTGGGTATGTAGTTGGAGGAGAGGACGGGCATGCCAATGCCCAGATTGGCGTACATGCCATCACGGAACTCCAGGGCCACACGACGAGCGATGCGTTCGCGCAGCGCCTGTCCGGGACTAGCGGGAGCAGCTGGTTTGCTGGGATCCTGTGGTTCGGTGATCCTCAGACGCTCCACGCGCTTGTTGTAGTCGGTGCCCCTGAAGATTCGCTTCACATAGATGCCGGGTACATGGATCTCGTCGGGCGAGAGTGCGCCCTCGGGCACCAGCTCCTCCACCTCGGCCACGGTTATCTTTGCGGCACGGCACATGGGTGCATTGAAGTTCCTGGCAGCCTTATTGAACACCAGATTGCCCAGGGGATCCGCCTTCTGGGCCTTGACAAAGGCAAAGTCAGCAAAAATCGACTCCTCCATCACGTAGTTGCGTCCGTTGAATTCTTTCACCGGTTTTGCCTCACTTGAAATCTCCACCTTGCCATCTTTCGAGTACTTGACGGGTGCACCGCCCTCTTGGACCAAAGTGGCGTAGCCAGTGGGCGTGTAGAAGGCGGGTATGCCAGCACCACCCGCACGAATCTTCTCCGCCAGCGTGCCCTGTGGCGTCAGTTCCATGGCCAGCTCTCCGGCCAAATACTGACGCACCAGCTCCTTGTTCTCGCCCACATACGAGCCGATAAGTTTACTCAGTTGTTTCTGCTTAATCAGCACACCCAGACCGCAGTCATCCACACCTTTAACGGAGAGAGGGGTTTCGTATTAGGAAGATATTATATGGGTGCGTGCATCACCTACCTCCATTGTTGGACACTGCGGTGATGTTCTTGACGCCCTTCTGCTTCAGTGCTGCAATCATCTTCTCTGGAATGCCGCAGATGCCAAAGCCACCAAACAGTATCTTGGCCCCATCCTGAACATCCGCCACTGCATCGATGGCCGACTCGTAGACCTTGCCATTTGGCTTCTTTCCCGACGTGGAGTAGCAGGCAATAAGCTGGAAGCGTGCAGATTGTAGGGGAATGTTAGTGGGGCATTAGCATAGTGGTTTATCGTTTGCTTATGATTGGATCTCGTTTGTGTGTGTGTACGAGGGTGCGTGACTGTGTGTGTGCGTGCCTTGTTTGTGCAAAATGTTACGTAAGTTTGCTCATTTCTAATATTAAGCTGTTGATTGCAGGGGGAGGTCATTGGGGGCCGCGTGCCATCAAGTGGGCTGTTCGCGTGGGTCTATCAAAATAGCGCTTATCACGGGACTTGGCTGGCAGGCCCTCTACTAAATCAAAATGTACAGTGAACAATGGCTATTGGCGAACAAAACCACAGTTATGCCTTAGCACTGTCTGTCCATAGAATATTTTTTCACTGTGCTTGTTTTTGAGTTTCCAAATTAATTGTGCACCTGTTGATTTTGTTGATTTTTTTCTTTTTGACTTTAGACTGGTTATCACCTGTTGATCTGATGATTGTTGGCATAATTGCTCACTTTATACAAGCGGCATAAAGATAAATGACTGTTTTTAATCCAGTTTGCATGTTTTCCAGCAGATCTACATAACTGTTCCTTGGTGTGGTGTTTTTTTCTCGTGGGTGGCGTGTGGCTGCTTACCTTAAAATTGCCAGCATATTTGGCACTCAAATTCCTGTTGGCAACTAGTCTACAAAGCATTTTGTACTTAAGTTATGTTAAACTATAAAACAAACAAGCAGATTAAGGTATAATAATAAAGAAAAATGTGGTCGGCGACGGTGAAAACAGCGCGCGGTAAGAAAAAAACAGCTGCCAGCTAGAGATGTGAAATTTATATTCAGCAACATATCGATATACCCATTTTTTTGCAGCTGATCTTTTTATGAACTGGCGAAATAATTCATATTAATTTCTTTGGGATATACAACGTTTCTATTTATTTATAAATCTGTATTGCTATTAACTTAGAACACAGAGTGGAAGTTTTGCATTTCAGCCATCGAGCACGGGGTTGGTTGCAAAATATATCGCTATAGTTGTGCGATAGGCTATATAATTTACCCATTGCGCTTTTAGCACTGAAATTCGTATTCCAGAAGGGGGCTTTTCAATATCTGTCTTTCGGTTTGTACTAGCGGCGGAGAGCTATCGATAGTGGGCACCATCTATAGTGGACGATAGTAAATTTTAAACCATCGATAGTAGTCGATAGTCGCAATAGAAAAATTGTTTTTTTTTATGTATACAATTTGAATTATCCTATCGTTACCGACAATTATATAAATCGAAAAGGGCTTCAAGATTGCAAGAATGGAGAAGTATATGAACTAATGTATACGGATGTGCCCACCATTGAAGCTGAAGGGAAGAATCGGAACATATCGTTCGATTTTGTGCCAGCATTCGAGTTCACCTGGGCCTAGTGGCCGTTGGGCAAAACATATCTTTACAACAGCCGTAAAAAAAAATTAGGGATTTCCCATGGTTAGCTGTGCCGCAATATAAACAAGGCACTCGGGACGATCGCATCTTGGTATGTGCCCTACATCTGCATAACTTCAAAAATTTGTTGCGCCTCATGAAGGGACTGCGCGACGCTCATGAGTCCGATTTTCCAGATCAAGTTTAATTTTGTGTTTGTGTATTTTATATTTTTCAAATAAATTCATATATTCCTTATCCATCAGCAAGAAAAAGTGCTGATCTTGCATATGTCTAGTACTGAAAGAGAGAGAGAGAGAGAGAGAGAGTGAACGAAGGCACAGAATTATATTAAAACCATGATGCAATTACATAAGGTGGTCTCGGCGGCAACACGGAGCCCTTAACAAAGCTGTCAATCGACAATGGAGTATACCGCTTGACCCTTTCATGGCATGGTGATTAAAGCTGCACATTGCAAGAAAAGAGTTGAAGTTTTATTTTTTATATTGATTTGTAATAATTTATTACTTGAAAGTATATTCGCACTGAATGCTAGGGGTGCGAAAACGAAGCGAGGCAGTCGACGAGACCACCTTATACAATTGCATCATGATTACTGTAAGTTGGATAAACTTTGACTGTGATATTGTGGGATCTTCTCGTTGGCGGCCTACTCCCATATATTTTGGCGTGCTTCTCCTCATTCTGTTGTTTGCCTTCTATTTGTTTGGATGGCCGCCGTCGCTCTGTGATCCATTCATTCCGCTTCCACATTTTGGAATTTGTTTATTCTGTGAATATCAGAATCCAAGATATACACAGGCACAGACACAGACACAAACACAGCCAACCACACATCATGCATAGCGTCCGTCGATGGAACATCAAGCGTTTCTCGCTGCTGCTCACCACCGCCCTGCTGCTGTACGTCTTTGTGTTCTCCAGCGGCTATCGGACTTACCAGATCGAGGGCATTATCGGCAAGACGAGACCGGAAAAGGTCTGGGAGTATGTGGCAGACTTTAACAAAATGCGTCTGCTCAATCCCACCATGTGAGTATATATGGATATGCTTTAGCAGGCGCCGCACCATCTATCTGACAATCCATCTCGCTTTCCGGCAGCATCAATTTCAAAATCCTAGCCGATCATGGCCACGCCCATGACTGGCGCTACACTGTGGAGTACACGGAGCGACTCTCCCACTGGCCCTACTGGCTAAACACAGCCACGGCCAAGTATGTGGTGACCAAAACGAAGCCAGGCATCACACCCATCGCCTATGCCATTCAGTCCATCCACGAGACCTGCTTCTTCAGTGGATTCTACTGCTGTGAGTGACACAACTATCTTCCCCTTAGAGCGTACTTTGTTTATTCATTGCCTCCACTTTCTCCCCTTCCTGCACAGTGCACTCTCTGAGTGAGTTTAGCTTCAGTGCCGCCAATGAAGACACATTGGCCCTGGAGCGCATTCAGTATCAGTGTCCACCGCTGCTGGGAAGCATGTGTCGTCGTGAACTAGAGTATCAGCGTCAGGCGGTCATGCACAATCTCACACACATATTCAGCAAACAGCGGACATGAGGGCTGGGACCATCGAGCGGAAAACGGAAAGCAATGTAACAACGTTTTAGAACGTGAAAGAAATTCATTAAAATTCTACTAAATTGGCTGGGTAATGTTTTACAGTTAACATTATACCACTTTAATATTTCGTTTGTGTGCCGTATTTCGGGGATTCCCTGAATTCTGTTAGCTTATGAATGCATTTTGATTCGATATTGCCAACTGCCTCTTGCCGTGCGACGTTTCACTTGTACAGATCCAAACGCTTCCTTTTGCTGGGTCCTGCACTGCGTGCTGAGCGTGCCCGACAGGCCGCCTCGCTCGTCGATGGCGCCATGGGTGTGCTGGGCGCACTCACCGATTGGGATTCCACAGAGCCGTTCTGGGAGCCGACACCGAAGGCGGCGCCAAACCAACGCGTCAGCTTCGTAGACTGCGTGGACTTGCCGGCGGCTTTGGGTGATTTGCGCATTGTTTGCGTGGCAGATGCGGCGCGATTGACGCTGTTGCCCGACTTCTCCGGCCCCGAGCTGATCAGATAGTTGGTGATCTTGTTCGATTGCGTCGAGCGATCCTGTTGCACAGGCGACACATTACCCGAGGAGTTGAGACGCAGGCGGCTGCCAAACTCCCCGTTGTTGGTAATTTCAAAGTAATCTTCTTCGGCAAATGTTCGCCGCCGTTCGGTTATCTGTTTTGGCGTGTGCTGCAGCTGCTGCTGCTGCTGCTGCTGCTGGGGTGGTGTCACATTTGGCAGGCTGGGCAGGACCTTGGGGCTGTATGTCACCGGTGTACGTGGCTCAAAAATCTGCTCTAGGATGTCCAGGCAGGAGCGTTCACGCTTCTTCTTAGCTGGTCCAACGATCGCCTTGGCATGTTGCTGCTGAACCTGCTTCACCTCAGACCCAAATATTTTGAAGCCCTCGAAGGGCGAAGATGGTTTCGGTGGCGGCTGAGCCATTGTCAATTGCGAAATGTCCGAGCAGTTGCTAAAGATATCCGGAGATTTAATCGGGTTCCTTTGCTGCGAGAGCAGCATACCAAAGGTTGAGGAGCCACTGGTTGGTGGCTCCTGCTTCCGCTTACGCTTCAGTGCCTTTGTGCGGCGGCTCTGCGTAGTGGATGAGCACGGCTGCGAGCCCTCGTCGTGGGAGCTGCAGATGACGATGGTCTCTCGCTGCTGTGGGCTGGTCAGCGGAACGGACAGCACCTCCGAGTCGCTGAACAGCGTGAAGGTCGATGGCAGCATCAAGTTTGCCGGCTGCGGCGTAAACGGTATCCGGAACGCTGGCAGATCCAGCACATCCACGTTGTCCGGCAGTTTTTGTCCGCACTGCATGTACTCGGACGACAGGGAGCCGCTGCTCATCACTTGGGGTGTGGCAACGATGGGCTTTACCTTAGAGCTATTTACGGCATGCTTTTCCTTTGATTTGCTTGCAGATTCTTGCCGCTGCGCTTCTTTTTTGCGTGGACGTCCTCGTGTTCGCTTGGATGTTTCTTCTGCAGCCTTGGATTTGGTTGTCCTGCTGTTGGATTTATCCTGAATGTCTTTTTTTGGTTGACGACCTGGGCGCCTCTTCGGCGTTTCTTGTGGCTCGCTAGGCTCTTGCTTCACCCTCGATTTTCTTGTCCTAGGCGTTTGACTGGACTCCGTTTTGGGTCTCCTGGGCGTGGTCTTTCTGCAGTCTTCCAATCTGATTCTGTGCATCAAGTACTTGCTGTTCAGCTTCGCGTCTGCAGAGCGCGTCAGACGCTGCATTCCGCGTGTTGCTGGACGTCTCAGTAGTGACGAGGGGCTCAAGGCCTGTCGGCGCTTAGCCTTTGGCTCTGTCTTTGGTGTCACCGGTGGCGGTGACATTGCTTTCCGTGTTGGAGTGCTTTTACGCTGTGGCGCCGCGAACGACATTCTCCTCAGTCGAACATTTTCTTTTCTTGGATTTTCCTTAGGCGACGCAGCAGCAACAGCAGCAGGAGCCGAAGCAACATCATCAGCAGCAGCAGCAACAACGCCAGCAGCAACAACGGCAGCAGCCGTGGGTGCACGCCTCTTCTGCCTCCTCATATTTTCCTGCTCCTCTGGCTCCGATTCGGTAAGTTCTGGTTGCTTAGCAGTATGCTGGCGTTTCACATATTTCCGCTTTGGTTTTATTGAAGGTGACTCCTTTGATGGCTTGTGCATGGGCGGCGTGCTCGGGGACGTAATAATCTCGCAATCATCGCTGGAGACAATCAAAATCTCATTGGCATCGAGAACGGGAGCGGCAGCTGGCAGCATGACTAGCTCATGCTCAGAGTCGGATGATTCAAAGACCAATGGCGGCATTATCACGGCTTCATTGCTGTGCTCCAACTCGGCCCTTCCTGGTTCTTCTGTTTGGCACTGATTGATCTCCACAGACGATGCCACGGTGGAGCAGACATCCGACGAGCCGCTGAGTGTGCTCTGACTATTCCTAAAGGCCAGCCACAGATTCAGAATCGCCTTGTATTGCTCGAGCGGCACCAGCGGCAGACTCTGCTCGAACTGATGGCGAAAGCGACGCAGACGAAAATCCCTGCGAGATGACGGAAAAAACATTCATAACAAATGGTCTTTAAATGGCTCTAAATGGGCGGCCTTACTTGATGTATTCACTGAGGAAGCCACGCTTCTTGTAGTACTCCTCGAGATCTATGCGCTTGCTGAACACCTCCTTGGGATCTGGCAGATGGAACGTGCGATCGAAAGTCTGAAAGTTTCTGTGTTTATGCTCCAGGCGTCCACCCAGTCGCAGCACGTTGTACAGGAGCTTCACGTCCGACTGCAGCACAAAAATGTTGATTAGATTATGGACTCGAAGTGACGTGGGTTTCGATTTCCTCACCGTTATGTCCACACTAGAGATTACAATGTTTACTTTGCCTTCAAAGTGCTTCACCAGCATGGAGTTGCAGAAATTGTTGTTCAGTGCATGGCCGCGATTGTCCACGAAAACGTAGTCGAATTTCAGTTTGCTGAGATCCCCAATGCTGCGTAGATTGCTCCACTTGGCCAGGTAAACGCTGTGCGCTGACTCGGTGGTGTCTAAACGAGAGGTTTCGGGCAGTTAATTCAAGGAAACTCTTGACAGCAGATTACCCAAATTACCTTGGACACTCTGAATAGTGTAGACGGAGAGATCGGTGAGAGTGTTTAGGTGAAACTGCCAGCCAGCGAGCAGATGCTCATCGTTTTGCAGCACAATCAGCGTTTTATTTGCGGGATCCATAGCACTGAGCAGGGCCGACACGGTGGCCAATTTCCCCAGACCACTCTCATCGTTGAGAATGCAAAACTCTCCCTTGCTGAGGCGCTCGTACAGGAATCGCACCGCATCGAGCTGAAATCCCTTCAAATACTGTGTTACGTGGCTGCTTACCAGTGCCGTCTCCGAGAGCCGCAGTTCCGGCGTCTGATGCGACACAAAGTGATACATGGCACGGGGGCCGCTTAGTGGTGAGCGTGGTGAAGGGCCAGATAGATGGCCACAAGTATGTAGAGCAGCTTTAGGTATGAGAATATCACAAACATCGAACAGGAGCCAATTATCATCTTCTTTGACGTTGGCGGGACATCGAAATCGTTGTAGTCGGCATTCAGTATATCCACCACGTTGTTGTTGGGACTATAAGTGTAGAGGATCTGCATGTGATTTGTTGGATGCAAGGGCTGCCAAAGGGGGTGTAGTGCTTATTCAGTGATTTGTTGCTCTAGCTAAGCATGGAAAGCGGCATGGCAAGGATGAGGATCGGTTTCGACTTTGGCGATATATATAATTTTTGGCACCAGTTTTTTTACTTTGGCATTCACACGGCGCAGGTCACACACAACAACAGCTGTTCTATGCAGAAGTATGCAACACTTTTCATACACGCTACGCTGTTTACCAGCACTGCTCCACAGGTGGAAATAATATTAATTTTTGTTTGCTTTTTGCTCAATCGAATGCAAACTCTCAAGTGGATATAAACATAACAAATTAAGAAATGAGTTCAAAGGGCAAGCCAGGCGCTACGCCAACACATACAGCAGCAGCGCCCGTCAAGCAGCGAACAATTGTTACTCCATGGAAATCCACGTGCGTTTTGTTTTATTTAGTTTGTTTTTGTTTTTAATTAATATTTTACATTTCAGAGCCGAATTCAAAGAAGCTTATACTCTTATATTTGGAAAGAATGCAACGAGCAGTCAGCTTCGAATGGCTCTGTCCATGATCCGCATCTGGAAGCTGCGACGAGGCAGCCTGTGCCCAGCGGCAGCTCTTGCCACTGCAGTGATTGTCCGGGCGCAGCTGGATGACAAGAAGGACGACGTGAATCTGGACAAAATCTATGCGCACGCAATAATGCGCTTCTTTAACTTCATGTCGTCCACCGTTCAAGGCCACAACTGGATCAGCATGTACGACAAGGCTCAGGAGTTGGGACTGCCATCGTTCGTGGTCGACATACGGCACAAGTGTTCGCACGGCACGGAAATGCCACCAGTGAATCTGTTGAGGGACGCCGCAGAAATTTGCCTGCAGTGGCTGCAACAAAACTACTGGCTGCCGCTGCAGGAAACCCTCTGCGATGTGGATGCAGGAAAACTGGAAGGCAAGGACAACATTAAGTTCAGGCAGAAGATGGCACACCAGTTATCCGCCTTCGACCTAGCCCTGGAGTGCCAGATCAAGGGCGCCCAGAGCCTCAAGGCCATCAAGAAACTGAAGCCAAAAGAGTTCAATGCCATAAGGGCATATCTATCAAAAAATAAGCTAAAGACGCCCAAGGAGATTCTTGACACTGTGATAAATAAACTTAACGAATTGGTCAAGCAAACATCAACTGTTAGGAATCTGCCCGAGGTCTACGTTGCAGAAATATTACGAATGAAATATTTCATGGGCGTGGGCCTGGAAATAAAAGACAATGAGGAACTCATCATAGCGGCCACTGAGGGACTCTTTAAACTGATCGCCATCCACGGGTTCACCGAAAACATCTTTGTGGCTCTTGTACACCTGACTGAAAATGTCCATGAGCCGGAGGAGCGGCGCTTGGGGGCCAGATATTGGGCCCTCAAAATGATTGAAACCTTCGCCATGCTGTCCCGCATGAAGCGCATGTTCAAGGAGGAGCTGGATAAGGTATGAGGTCTATCAGAAATTAATAAAATATTCTGTACTCTGGTTTTTGGTTTGCCTCCTGTAGAATGACAAGCTGAAGCCTGCGGATTTCTCATCCCTCAACAAGCACGTAGTACCGAAAACTATTCGCACTCTGTTAGCCCACTCTGGAGTAGATCCAACGCTCACGCTGATGTTTGGCAACAGCCCAAAGAATCCAAGAGCTGTGCTGTTTGATCAGGAGTTCTTCCTGAAGCGATTTTCGTATCTAACTTCATTCTCAGCACCCATCCTCAAAGGGTAAGGCACACAGGAAGACCTAACCCTACATTGCTAATCTTTACTTCATGTCCTAGTTTGATACCGCTGGCAGAGACGCCTTTCGATGTGGATCCCATGGAGCAGTTTGATGAGTTTTTCTGCCCCAAAGTCCTCCCAAACACCGACTTGGGTATTTGGACACTTGAGACAGGTACATATATGAATGTGGCAAAATAGTCGTACCAGCTAATCCATCTTTTTCAGAAAACAATTGGTCGAATTGCGCCCTTGGAGTGCTACCAACACTAAATAAACAATAAAAATTGCTTTCACTTGAATCTTATTTTGGCGCTCAAACTGTGACAAGGCATTCGCCCTGTGACGTGGCCATGTGCTGGGGGTGTCTACGAAACAGGTGAATGGCAAGACGACAACTGACGTCAACAATTGCTCGGTCTTTTTGGTTGATTTCAATGTAAATATTTCTCAATTGTTCTATAATGTTTACTCTCTGGACGCTCATCGAAGCCTCGCTGCTGTGCCTCAATGCCGTGTGCATTCTGCACGAGGAGCGCTTCCTGGCCAAGTGTAAGTTTGCCTAGATGGCAATTGCAAGTCTCAACCGCCACGACGCTAATCTTGAGCACATTTTCAGTTGGCTGGGGCCGGCAAGCGGGTCAGCAGGACTTTGGAGCACCCACGGCCAAGGACCAAGTGTTAAATCTCATTCGTTCCATTCGCACAGTGGCCAAAAGTATGTAGCACATCTGCACATCATCAAAAACACATAAATAATAACCATCTTTGTCTTATTGCAGTTCCCCTGATATTTCTTAACATAATTGCGATTATATTTAAACTATTACTTGGTTAGAAACATAAAGTCTATTGTAAAAAGTATACTAAAAGCCTTTTTGCGTGGCCTGCGCGTTGATTATTGTGCCACATTGGTGCCCGCCTTTCGTTGCAGCACACACTTGACGCGGTTCTCCAATGCTATGCTGTAGGCGTCTAGCTTGTAGGCGGCAGCCTCTAGTTTGTCAACCGTGTCGGATATCTCGTCGATCTGCTGCATTAGCGGAGCCAGCTGCTGAAACTTGAGGCTCAGCTCGCTGGTCGATACATTCAGGTTCTCTGCAATCTGACGCATGTCCTTGTACTTGGCTATGGTAGCTTTGTTCATCTCCTCTAATAGCCTGTAGTCCTCTAGGGGCGCGTTCAGTTCGTGCGTAATGTATTCCTCAGTTTTCTGGAACATATGCGTCGCCAATCGGCTGAGATTTGGGTCGTGGCGGGCCAGAGCCTCGAAGCTGGAGCTGCTGGAGAGCGTTGGCCCATGGAGTGGCGAGTCCAGAAGTGCATTCTGCTCCTGCATTATTGGAGCAGATGCAACTGCAGCAGCAGCAGCGCTAGTTGATGGCTTTTCCGTGTCCATTTCGATGTAGCAGTTTTCCAATTTTCCCCAATAACAAATGTGATCAGCTGCTTGTTTGCGTGCCGCTGTGAACGGCTCTTGATGCGTTGCCATTCGCATACCATCGCAATAAAGAGCAATGACAAAAATGACGAGTTTCGAGTGCTTCGCGCCACCGCAAATGTTCTATTCTATAAATATGAGTGCTGCGCGGATTGATAAGACCATTAGAAGACCCACTTTCTACGGACCAGCATGTCACGTGCGACGGAGGAACGTAAGCTGAAGCATCTTTTCGACGGAGGCGCGTGGAATGTCTACGAGCCAAACGTCCTCAATTTGGGCGTCGGGTCTCCGGGCACTGACCTCCTCGAGTCCTGCTGCGATATCTTTCAGCAGGCCACTGAACATTGTCTGGTGAGTGAGTGGTGCACCTCAATTATGCAATTTCCCATTCAAACGACCTTGTGCACTTTTTCAGCAACATGAAAAGAAGGAAAATCAGTCGCTGATCTTTCAGTACGGACCCACAAATGGCTGCTTTGAGGTGCGGCGTGAGATAGCACAATACTTGAGCGCCATGTACGACAGCCCTGTAAACTGGTGAGTGTTGGGCCTGCGGTTTTGTGGCTCTAATCGTTGTACGATTTGCAACTTATCACTGTTTAATGGTTTTTAGTGAGGATTTGATTATTACGGCTGGCGCCACAAACGGCCTGCACTTGCTGCTGTCGACATTGATTGACTTCCAGGGCTATATATTCGTGGATGAGTTCACCTACATGATAGCCCTGGACAGCATGAAGCACTTTACCAGTCTAACCATCGTGCCAGTCAAGCTGAATGCAGATGGCGTTGATCTGCGGGATCTGGGCGAGAAGGTGGCGAAGCATAGATTCAGCTCGTCGAGCAAGGAGTTCTGGGGAATGTACTACACCATTCCGACCTACCACAACCCCACGGGCATACTCTTCTCGCCAGGTAAGTCTTTCCTCTGGCCAAGCAGTTTTCATTTTCATTTTGATTTACATTTTTCAGAGGTTTGCCGCGGCATTGTCCAGCTCGCGAGGAAGCACGACTTTCTTGTTGTGTGCGACGATGTGTACAACATTTTATACTATGGTGAGAGGCCTGAGGCGCGCCTACTTGCCTATGATGCTCGGACGGATGTCGACTATGCTGGCCATGTCGTATCCAACTGCAGTTTCTCCAAAATTCTTGGCCCTGGCCTGCGTCTGGGCTGGTTGGAGGTGCCGCCGCGCATAAAGCCTTTGCTGGAGGGCAGTGGCTTTGCGAACAGCGGTGGCTGCTTCAACAACTACACCGCCGGCATTGTGGGTAGTCTGTTCAAGCTAAATCTTGCCCAACAGCAGATAGCTCGCTTCCACGAGACCTACAAGGAGCGCATGCTGGCCACCACAGAGGCCCTCGCAGCGGCGCTGCCGGAGGGCTGCAAAATGTTGAGCCCCAGCGGTGGATACTTCATTTGGATACGTCTGCCGCAGCCTCTGGATGCTAGAGAGTTTCTGAAATACAGTCTGGAGCAGCAGAAGATTGCGTTCATAGCTGGGCCTCGCTTCGCGGCGGATGGTGAGAGTGGTAAGCAATTCTTTCGTTTATCCATTGGCTTCCATGGCAAAGCGAAGCTTGTAGATGGTGCACGGCGACTCTGCCAGTCACTTAAGGATTATATGATGTCCGTGACCACTGCCTAGAGCCCCAACACAATCTATCCCAACGCAAGGCGTATCTTAATATGGCAAAAAGGGTTTATGTTTATTCATATTTTGTTGTCTGCTATCATCGCACGTTAAATAAGGCTTATAAAGATGTGACTTGGCACTAAACTAGATACTTATCAAGATTATTATAAACTACATTATGCGTTATGAAAATAGATATAGATATACACATATTCATATATAAACATACATTGGGTTGTACAGGTTTTCTTTTTTTGGGCACAATGCTTAAAAATATCACAAATCTGATAAACTTTTAGCGAATTGCTATCTAATGCTAGATACAATAGATGGAAGATCAGATTAGAAGTTTATACATTGTACAAAATAGAGCAGATCTTATCTGGATTTGTATCTGCAACTGCGACTGCTTTGGCAACTGCTTCTGCAGATTCCTCTTGTCATTTGTGCTGCTGCGAATGCGATTGTCTATCGATTTCGATATCTTTCGTTTGCTCATAATACTTTCGCTTGAATTGGAATGCCAGCTGGCGGATTACTATATAACTGAATGCTACTACTCGGAGAAGGTCAGCACGATCTCCCTGAGTGAGGTGTAAGTGCCGATCACTAGTCCCAGGATGCCCACAATGATGAGCACAAAGTTACCTAAACAGAAAGAGCATTCTATTAGCATAAATTCTGGCTGGTTGGGGGGTTGCTACTCACTTAACAAAAGCCAGACCTTGCGCAGACCCTTGGTCTCGTACCAGTGCGTGCAAATCTGGATGAGTGCTGGGAAGGCCAGGCCCAGGGCGGACAGGCACAAGGCACCAAACAGTGAGATGAAAAGCTCCAGATTGGGTATGGCCACAGCCAGCAGGACTACAAAAACAACAATAATTCAGTCAGAAGCCATAGACATGTGAATGCTGTCGCCACTTACAAGTCATCAGGACAAGAATCGTGCGGACTGCGTACTCCCAGAAGAGCTTGTTGCGCTGCGGACCCAATCGCTTGGCCACATAGTCGTTCCAGGTGATGTCAATGGCCACATAGCAGGCCAGGCCATGGGTAATATAGATGGCAAATGCCAGCATACCCTTCACGCACTGCGACAGGCTAAAGATGAGAGAGATAGAGACGTTATAGAGGGGAAACCACTGGCATTTGGTTGGACTTACAGTTCATGCTCTGGCATATTCAGGGTTATGGAACCCAGCACGGAGTTGCCATAGTTGAGATAGCCAAAGAGACCCATGCCCACGTAGAGGAACACAATGAGGATCATGGAGACGTTGAGAACTCCACAGTTGCCGCCAAACTTTTGCGGTGTCTTCATCTCATTCTCCAGCGGCAGGATGACACCGATGGCCTCCAGGGCGAACAGAACGGTGCCGAAGAAGAGCGGAAAGTTCTCGGGCTTGCCGAAGGCATCCTTGCCCTCGGTGGAGACGGGCTCGCGGAAGATGTAGTAGCAGATGATGCCAAAGGAGACCATCGTAATGGCATTGGCCAGCGTGGAGAATGGCGCCAAATACTTGAGGTTGCGTACCCAATTGATGAGAATCAGCGGCAGCAGTATGATGATCATGCAGAGGCGCACATCGACGTTCGTGTCACCGACGGCATCCACAATGGCCTTGATGTTTGAGGCGACAAATACCACGTAAACGCAGCAGGTGCCCAGCTGGTAGATCAACAGGAAGGTGTTTACCACAGTGCCAATGTAGGGGGCGCAGGCTCTGAAGAACCCTGGACCCTCGCCCAAAGCAGTCTCCGCCACAGCTGGATAGTTCATGCTGGGAATCTGAGAAATGGGAGCAGAGAGAGAGAAGCACTGATAGGGTCTGGCATGCATTGGGAGTGACATAAAACGCACCTTCTTCCTTCGGCACAGCTCGTACTCCGCTTTGACCAACTGATGGATGCAGTACGTGCAGATAAATCCAATCACAATGGTGCCAATGGAGCCCGTAATGTAGCCAGAGTTGCGGAAGGCATTCGGCATGGCCAGTATGCCAGTGCCCAGAGAGCCCTTAAGCAGATGGAACAACGTTTCCGAATTGCTAAAGGAGTGGGAGCGGATTAGTTTGCTTTAATCTCTTGTTTAATTTCTTTTGCTTACGTTGTGGGATGCTCGACATCACGATTCTGGTAGGGATTGTAATCGGGATCCTTGGCCACAATGGCCTTGTTCGTGCTGCTGTTGCTGTGGCTGCCACCCTTCTCGGCCAGCTCCAGGGAGTAGGACTTGCCCGTCGGCTTCTGTACGCTGTCCGCATGGTCGCCGACGAAGCCGGCATTACTGTGTCCATTCTTACTCATGGCTGTAAAAAGTGGAAAAGGAAATGCTATTTAATAATTTATATGCTGCTGCAAGATCTATCTATCTATTTATCTTTCTATCTATCCGCATGTGCATTCGAATCTGTGTTCCTCTCTTGCGAACCGCAACAAGTGCGTGCAATGTGCAATGTTCGCTTTGGCTCTGTAAATAGTTTTGTGCCGCTGACATATTTCTAAATTGAAAGCAGACCTCAACGAATGTCAAGTTCAATGCAAGCGAAGCGTTGCCCCATCCACATACCCGTACGAGCAGTACCTTGCATTTTGTGCCGCGTCTGAAACGTGTCTAAAATAGAATAAACGTAAAACCGAAACAGAAAGAACCTCTCGCAAATGTCGAGCACCAATTTTAGTGTCATTTGCCTCTAGCTTTGGACTTTTCTGCGATTCCCCATGCCCAATCCCAGCCCATTCCCCTTTCTTAATTAGAAAATATGTATCTATATGACATGGGTAATTTGGGGGGCTTTTTACTGCCAGTTCCAGTTAAGATAATCTCTCATCTCAGAGCTCATCTCATCTCATATCTCTCTCTCTCGGCAAAGATATGGAAATTTTGGCAAATTGAGACAATTTTTCCGGTTCCTCAATCTCGCGAGTCTCTTGCAGTATTATCTAATTGCTCTCGTTGACATCTTGACTGCAGATCAGCTATGATACATCGTTATGAGACCCATGAGATGTGATCTTCTGCCTCTAACGATCTTCCGCACACCCATACAGCCGCGCTGTAAACCTGAATGGACTCGATGCATAATCTCAAGTACAGCGGGTACGGGTTTGTCTGTACCAGAAGTCAAAGTCTTAGATATGCGGAAGTCGTTAGCTGATCAATGGAACACTCAGAAACTAAGTCTTTGACTTTTCGAAAATGTATCGAATGAGTCAATGAATTTTCATGGAAAGAAAAGGTGCCAATTGAATTATTGATGGGGAAAAGTAATTGCTCTCTTGAATGGGAAATTCTACATTAAAGATCATCTCGATAGATCTTTGTTTGTGCCATAACTTTCGAATTGAAACTGAAAACTGGCCCAAACCAGACACCTTTTTGACTATGCAAAACTCAAAGTTCGCAGAAATATTTATCATAATTTATTCTGGGTATGCAAAACCTTTGGTAGTTTGTTTTACTAATGAAGTGCAGGCGGTTTAAACTGGATTGTCTCCTGGCTAAAGTCATGTCCCCTAACCGTGTCTTTCTTCCCTTTTGAATGAGTCGCATATTTTGCTCATAAATTACATTTTTATTTGCCATTTGCCAGTTTGCAAATTACCAATTTGTTTTGACTGTTTTCTGCTCGTGATTTATTTAGTGATGTGATGATGATTTCCACGTTTTGCCAAGAGAACTATAAATAGGCGCCTATAGGCGCGGCGTATGTGCAATCATTTTTGAGAAAATGTTTGAGCCAAGAATTTCCCATGAATCGCCGCATGCCTCTGCCGCTCTTCACGTGAAAAAAAAAAATCATTTGAAAACAGCACGCGACTCGAGAGTTTCGTTTCGTTTTGTTGTCGATTCGTCTGCCTGCTTAATGTATTGTTATTTATGCATTGTATTTGTCGTCTAGAGTTAGCCAAGTTCAATGAGCCAAGTCGTCAAAGCGGTGGAGTGGTGGAGTGGAGGAGCATAGTAGCGGCCTTAGCGCTCTACAGCCGTCGGCTTGGCTTCGATGTCGTAGTGGTTGAGCACCAATTTCAATTGGCAGCAGCTTCAAAGGAAGGCTGTGTATTTTGTGTATTCGAGGGCGAAGCTTTTGATACCCTTGCAGAAAGATCTTTCATACGATTAATCTACGGTTTTGCTTATAAATATTTGCAGAAAAGGTACCACACATAATTCGAGTTTGTGGTGGAGTTTTGCTTGGAATATATTTAGGAAGAAACTAGTTTTTAGTCGATTGCTTCTTGGTAATAAAAAACCTCCAAACAAAGGCATAATACCCTTCCCAAATATACACAAAGTTGGCACCACAGATCCACGCCAATTGCTCTTTGATCGGGCAAGTTGGGGCGGGTCGGGGCGAGCGAATCTAAGCCTGGTCTGGGGCTTCTAAGCTTATAAAAGCCGACGGCCTTGCTCCGCTTATTGATTTGTGAATTGAATTTTGAATGTCTAATCTGCTCTCTGTTTGCTGTCTCTGCTATGACAGTGAATATTACCGACCGTCTGATGAAGTTCTTGCTGTGGCAACCTGTGCGACGGTTGCAAAAATTGTTGCATAAACTGGCATGGGCGAAGAGCACGACTCGAAGCAGTTTGCAAGTTGCAACACGCTCTCGAGACGCTCGAGACTTCAAATCGAATTATAACGGCCGTTAGCAATGCTAAATGTAAATTTATCATGGGTGATCTCAGTCTGTGACTGAGTCCAGGAGCTGCAAGAGTCCACTGTCGATGGGTTGGCCAACGTGTTGGTGCACCCTATCTGTGGCTTATCAATCGATGCCATTGCAACACACACACACACACACACACAGATAAAGATCAATTGCAGCGTGTGGGTGTGTGGAATTCCTTTTAGCCAAAATATCACTTGTAATTCGCTGGCGCAAACTGCTCTGGCGACCCTTTCCTGTGCCTTGCTATTTCTGTGCACTTGATCAATGATTTGCGTCAACCGCCCAGGCGGCTGGCCGGCCACCGCTTTCCGTTGTCTAAATTTAAATACAATTAGTGCGAATCCACAAAGGAGCTTTATTACCGTCTGGTTAGCTCACACTGCCTCCGACTTAGACTAATTTGCGAATGCCTGAAGCCGACTTCCGTTCCCCAAATAAAACTCACCGCGACTTTGCTGCAGCAGCTGTTCGGCTGATGGAGGAATCGGAATCTCTTGTGTAACTGGGGAAGATGTGGA